GTGGTTCTCAAATCATGCATTTTGGAGCACAATCTTCGGTTCAATGAGGGTCTGGTCGACTTGTAATGAACTTTTGTTGTACATAAATAACTCATTTCAGACATTGTGGTGTTCATACATTTCTGGTTTTATACTCTTTTCTTTTCTCATTTCAAAATGTCATGTGCAATTATTGGTATGAACCTTGTGGTTTCATCATTGCATTGAAAACCTGCTCCAGAATTGTTTTTTATTAAATGGTAGAAATTTATGCATGATCTTCATCAAGATCTCTTCTTGAGGTGAAGCTACTGATTTGCCTTCCTCCATTTGGGTCGAAAGAAACTTAGGGTGTTCCTCAGATTACGCTGCATCATCTTCCAGTAGATGTTATTGACGGTAAGAGATCTATATCTCTTGCTCATCATCAAAATCCCAATTAACTTTGTAAGTCGACTTAATCAATTTTACTTGAAAGATCAATGGATAAATTGAGGTGTTGGTGCCTAGCTTTTATGACACCATAAAGGTATGGAAGTTCATCGATATTTGATTCCTCCATTAGCTTGTTTTGTCTTATCTCCCTTTTTCTTCAAGCTTTAACAATGGTTTTGGATTGTTTAGCAAAAGTGACAACACCCACTTCATAGTTCCAAATGATGTATCAATGTCAGTTGATAACAATCTGGAACAAGATGTCTATAGTATTGAAATTTGCCGAATGTTTGCTAGGCGATGCTGGTCCACCCTGATAAAAATATGGGCTATGAAAAAGCAGCAGAAGCTTTTAAAAATTTTCAAAATGCATACGAGGTAATCTCTTGGTTTATTATCCCTACACCTACACCCCTCTCGCGTGGATTGACATCTCCTTTCTAAAAACAATATAATTTCTTTTATAGATCTTACTTGATTCGTTGAGACGAAATGAATATGATGCTGAAATTAGGCGAGAGGAGCTGCTAAACTATTTCCGTAGGTTTCAGAATGATTCTCAAAAAGTTTGAGCATATATCTTACAAGTCTTCACTTCAAGTTGCTTGTAAAGTTTAGTTTGTGATATCTTTGATTTTTCCCAGCACCATCATTTCTGCTTCTTCTAGTGATATGCATTCCAAGCCTATGTTGCTCGGACTCTTCATTTTTCATGAAATACCGGTGTCCGAAACTTGTGTCCAACACTTGGATATGGGGATATGATCTCTAAGGGTCCTTCAAATATATGGAAAACCTTAGAAAAATCTAATTATACCCATGTCCGACACTTGCACCCAAATCCGAGTAACATAGTTCCAAGCAGAGAAACCATAAAAAAATATCTGTAGATACTTTAATCTTTGCATCTTGCATGACATTTTATTGCGATTTATTTCCCAGAATGGTAGACATGGTTTCTTTTCCTCAAGATTTGCACGGCCAGAGGCCGTTGGGAAGGAACCATTTGGAGAATCTAGGAGAATCACCTGCAAAAAAATGTGGTAACTTTCATGTCTGGGTACACACTAAGAAATCGAAATCTCAAGCAAGATGGTGCCAGGTATTTCCTTCCCCCCTAAAACACGTATCATTATAACATACCCTTCTGTTTTTTACTTCAACAATTAGCATACAGTCATCAAGCATGAGAGCCCCTAATTTCTATAACATTGTGTTAACTCTAACAAGAAACTAATGTTGTTTTTATTGCGGAAGACGGCTATCGGATAGAGCAAAATCGCAACTGATAATTTGAGAAAATAAAAATGAAGATAAAAGAGACACAAAATTTACGTGGAAAACCCCTAAATAATATAGGGTAAAAACTACGGGCAACGGTAGAAGAATTTCACTATGAGAAAATATGAATTACAACTTCTCTCGATCGACCAAGGAGAAAACAATGATAATTCTCTCTTGATAAAAAGGAGAAAACAACTCTCAAGAAACTCTCTAAATTATCTCTAGTATTGGAAGAAAGCTAGAATGCTTTGGGATGATTTTGAAGCTAAATGAGCTAGGGTATTTATAGTTGAAACCTAAGGACTAATTTGTAAATACCCTAAAGTTTAATGACTAAATTATGATTTAGCCATTGTCCAAAAATCAACAAAAACAACTCATTTTTTTCGATGCATTTATTATAGTTCGGTGCTTAGTCAACAGTTTTCGGAACTCATCCAAGGAATCAAGCAAAAGATGGAGATGGATGAGTTGAACAATCGCCTGAGCCCTTATTTTTCGGGTTTTTGCAACGTATTACATGACTGATACTATTCTGTTTTTCCTATTTCTACCTTCTTTTTACATAAAACTTATTTTTTTTGTGGTGTAGGTGGAAGCTCCCTCTGCCTATGTTTTTGCTGATAGCAAGATATATGATGCAACTGAATGGTATAATTGTCAGGTAAATCTTTGTTTACTTGGTATTTATTATCGTATTAATCCGAGGATAGAACACTTAATACTTCTGGATTTTATTGCAGGGAATGAGATGTCCGCCTTACACGAATAAGCTGGCTTTTCATGTGAACACTAGCGTGACATCCAAGAATAGTACCAGAAAGGGATCGAATTCGGGACACAGAGGTGGCACAATGCCAATGCTCAATCTCGAAGAAACGATGACAGAAGAAGAATTCTTAGTGTGGTTACAGAATGCAGTACAAGAATGCATGTTCGACGCTTCTACTGCTAGCACCTCTGCTGAAAGTCCATTTGCCAAAGCGGGAAGCGGCTCGAAGAGCAGCAGAGCCAGTGGAGACAAGAAAAAGAAAAAGGGTAAGAAACAATGGTGAGTTCCGAGCAGTCTGTTGTCGGGAGAGAAGTAAATTTTTGGCCATAAAAAAAATGAAATAGATTTCAAAGCCTGGAGGGTTAATCTTCCTGGTGACAGTATTACCAAAAATGTTTGCAGCGGTCGACTTGCGCATTCTTTATTTCCATGAAGCTTAGACTGAGTTTTGATTGCATATCGAGTCCATCCACGGTAGAAACAGGATGCGGAGATGACTGAATATCTTGCTCAGTGGTTGATCGACTCCTATCGACAGTCCCCGGGCAAGAAGCATGCTGCACGGACACAGCCAAATCACTTGCAAATTCAACCGAGTAGGCAGCAACGAGATCGAAAGCTCCATCCACCTAATCTTTAGTGACATCAATAGCATACAAACTAGAAACAGGATCAAAGGAAGTATCGTAATTCAATTCAATAATCGAAGGTGGCCTTTGCCAATACTATCATCTATTAATTTTCCGAAAGACCTATCAACTGTAAAATTTCCAGACATACCTATTAATATTTTTTGAAATTACTTCATAACAATTACTGAAATCGAAATTGAAAGGTTATATCAGCCACGAAGCATGTGATAAAAAAATAAAAGGCTAAATTACATCATGTCATTCGATTATTAATAAGATTATAAATAGGTCACTTAATTTCAAAAGGTTATAAACGAGTCAATTAATTGATTGATTGTAACAAACAAGTTAATTTTTAGTATGACTACAAACGTGTCATCCAATTTTGAAAAATCACAAATGAGTCGGTTAATCGGAAAACAAAATAAAAAAAGAATAGTTATTTTAGATTTTGTACTTCTCAAATATCAGGGGTTTGATTCGAGGATTCGAACGACGGAGAATCTATTGTTCGTAAGAGGAAGAACAATTTCAGAGATAAGAAGCCATCAAACAATGGATGGAGTAAATTGGTGATCAAGAACTTCAAAAAGTTTTGGGTTGATTTTATGGTTTTTGAGAGAGATTTTTTAGAAATCTAATCCGATGAATCAAGCAAGGAGATAAAGCTGAATATTATGGTGAAATTTGAGTTCATTTGCTATTATATACAGCAGTTGGTGAAGTGACATTGACGATAATTTCGTGGTCGATTTTTTATTAGTGACTTGATTATTACAATCAATTAATTGAGTGATATGATTTTAACTATTTAAAATTCAAATATTTTTTTCACTTTAAAAATCTGTTTTATTTTTAACGATCCAGCTACTTATTTGTAACAATAGATTAATTGACTCATTTGTAACCATTTGAAATTATTTGTAACAATTGATTATTTGTAACATTAAAAGTGGACTGACTTGTGATGTAACTTACCAAAAATAACCACGTCTCATATTGGGGGTAAATTATAACTTTGGTCCCTCTGTTATACTCAATTTAGTCTTACACTTTAATTTGGCATGATTTAGACCATCCACTTCCATAATATTTTTCAGTTAGTCCAAATAGTTTCTATCATTAATTATTCTGTCTAAAATGGATTTTTATACAAGAACACTCCATCCAACGCAAGGAATCCAAGTCAGCATGATAAGTAGTGTTTTTCTTTTTTTCTTTTTTTAAATAAAAAAACGTTAGTATTTTAAGTGGAGTAGTTAACTTATTAGCTAACTGGACTAACGGAAGGGACCAATTATGTCAAATTAAAAAAGTACTAAATTTCAAATTTAAGCATAATAGAGGACCAAAATTACAATTTAACTTATTTTTTAAAATTAAAGAACTTGAAGAGTGATACATAAATGGGCTTTAAGATAGATATAATGATAAAAAATGTTCTTAACGTTCCAATAAAAAGATTTTTATTTTTTTTAGAGTATTTTATCCTTCAATCTTTCATTTTAAGACAAAAGAATTATGTGTATGGAAATTATTAATCAATAAACGATATGCTCTAAAATAGTGGCTTTTTTCTTAAAATAAAACGTCGGATTAAAATGACCTAAAAAAGAATAAGAATTAAAATAATTATTTAGTGAAATGTTATGAGCTTCTTTACTTTAAAATAAATGTTGGGGATAAAATATTTTAAAAAGTATAGGGACCAAAATTATTATTTGATCAAATGTTAAGAACATTTTTTTAAGAAAAAAAACGATACATAAATGGGCTTTCAGACGTGGGCATGAAGTAGTAAAATCATCAGATTCAACCCATGGGTTAGAATGACCCAATAAATGGCTCGACCCTATACTTTTTTATTCGTAACTCCAGATATTTAAAGAGAATGTTATCATCTCTGCACTTCCAAGTTCCTGCGATGGAGTCCCTCCTACACTCTTCTGCAAAACTTGTTGCTCAGAGGCTACCAAGACTGAAAATAAAAAGTGGGTTCTTTGGAAACCAATGCCCTTTCTTCAAATTTCCTCGGGAAAACTCTCACCTGGTTCGTAGAAAGCTTTTGATTGTGGAGGCAAAGAAGAACAAAAGCAATGATAATGATAAGCAAGATGCTCACAGTTTCATCCCCAAACAAGATGAGACCACTGGGTTTTTCCCTGAAGCTGTTCTCCTTAAAGAGGTCTCTTTTCTCTACAATCCCTTTGTTTTCTTTTATGTTTTCGTTGTTTGTCCGTGTTCTTGTAATTCTGCAGTATCTATAGGGGTTATGTTTCTGACTTTGGTAAAGATTGAATTTTTTTTACTTTTTTGGGTTTTTTTAATAATTTTTTGTTTCATGAGAGAAATGTTAGCTGCTTAATTTCTTTCATGGAATTTGAATATGGTTGTGTCTTTGAATTGCAGAAGAAAGTTCAGGAAGATGGTAGACTTCTCCCGGAGTTTGCTGATGAAGAAGAACGTAAGTCCACTATGAATAAATAAGGGATTTAAATTGCGGTCATTGCTGGTATTGTGCTCCTGCAATAACGGTTTCAGACGCCACAATTACTGCTGTATAACGGCCACTATTTTGATTGCGGACCGCTATTTAAATCCCATTTGTCATTTTTGTATGAACTTTTATATTCCAGATGAATAGATATAGCTGTGTTGTTGAATTGCTTGTAATTTTGCAGAAGAATTGTATGAATCCCTCAACCTTCAGCTGCAAAGCGCGTTGAATGTCGAACGCAGTAAGTTTGCTTCTTATAGTTACTTTGTAGTTTGTGCTAGTTTCGTAGGATTAAACATAAATATTTGGTTGTTTTCTTGAAATCAAGCTTTTGAATTGGTCTTACAATTTTACTTCTTGCCTAAATCTTGAAAAAAGTTTCATCAACTCCTTCTATATGTTAAATGTACCAATGTTTCAGAACTCATTAGGTGTATAATGAACTTATATCGCTGCAAAACAAAGGTCGAAGTGAGTGTTGGATTCTATCATAATCATCAAGGTTTTTATTTGGTTTTCACTATGATAGTCTTTTTCCATGCGACTTGCCGTTTAAAAGAAAGAAAAATCTTTTAAAAAGTTTCATTAGCTCCTCGTATATGTTGAGTGGACCTTATTGTTTCGAAATTTCTTAATTCCTGAGTTGTAGGATGAACTTATGTCACCACAAACAAAGCCTAAAGCAAGTGTTGGATTCAAAGATGGTTTTAAAAAGTATAAATTTGCTTATTATACTCTTGAATATGACTCCAAAAATGCTGAAATCTTACGCCAGAGCTCCACCTGAGGAAATGGAATATGAACATCTTAAATGGCTGCTGAATGATTCAAGGAAACTCATGGTTTTATTAGCCTTTGTAATATCAAAGTTGCATTTGGGGTCTGATTTCAGTCAAATATGGAGAAGCAAACTTTTTATCATTGTATGGACCGCGTGGATTTTCTCTTTTCGATGTTGTCGTGATCAATTATTCTCCTTGTTTACACAGTGCGACACTACGAGGTTGTTTACTTAATTCACGATAAGCATGATGAAGAGGTTGAAAAAGTCAATGAGAAAATTCAAGGTAACCCTTCCCCCATTCCTTATTATTATTTCCCCCCCAAGTAAATTGTATGCTTATTGTTTTCTTTTCGGGCTATTAGTATCCTTTCATCGAGTTTCTGGCATATTCCTTTGGAGTGAGTATATTGCCGGTTCTGAAGAAACGCAGGCGGACTTTATTTCTTAATTTATATCCATGAAACGCTTGCTGCAGATTTCTTGAGGGAGAAGAAAGGCAGGGTATGGAGATTGAATGATTGGGGTCTTCGGAGACTAGCGTACAAGATAAAGAAGGCTAAGAATGCCCACTACATCTTGATGAACTTTGAGTTGGAAGCTAGATGGATCAATGACTTTAAGTCCATGTTAGACCAAGATGAAAGAGTCATTCGACATCTGGTGATAAAAAGAGACGTGGCAATCACCGAGGATTGTCCACCTCCACCCGAGTGGCACACTCTTCGTGCAGGTGGAGATGATGAAGATGAAGTTGAAGATGGAGATGAAGATGAAGATTATGATGATGAGTATGAAGTTGAAGATGAAGATGATGAAGACCTTGAGGAGGATTGGGATGGAGAGGATGACAACGATGCCATTATTGCCGAGGAAGATGATTTATTTGCTGAAGAAGATGATTACATAGAAGATTCGAATCGCAGAAAATCAGCGAGTGTCGGTAATACTGGTAGAACAAATCTTAAAGCTAAGCAAGTTGCTAAATAGGTAACCTCCTTCTGAATGTATTCAGGTTTGTATTGTATGGTTATCAGATTTCATGACTGTTAGGTATTAAACGAAGATATTATAATTTTGTTAATTGTTATGAACAATGGAATCATCTACAAAACCTCAAGAGCAACACTTTTAATGGTAGTCCCTTTCTACTTGTAAACCATGGATAATGAGTTGTGAAAACTGTCGAAAACTTGTATAAATCGCGGAGTTGGTCCCCGAATTCGATGTGATTTTGTTTGGAGTTTACATTGAATCTAGAATATTAAGAGGCTGAGTGTTTCTTTTATGGTGCTTTGGGTCATGACTCGGATAAAGTTGCTCCAAATTTAACCATGGGAAGTCCATTCCCATTGGTGTCAAAAAAGACAAATCTTGATTCATTGACTAAACATGTAATGCTACGATTTTGTTTACAATGATCTTATTATGATTAGGTCGAAAATTTAATTCATGTACTTTAATTTAAAATGATTTTACTATTACCTTATTGTTAATATAGTGTCTTAGTTCAAATAATTAATGCGTTAAAACTTATTCTCATCCAAATAAAGCTTAAGGAGTAAAAAAGTTTATCTATTAAAAACTTAGCTCCTCTTGGAAAACACACTTAGAAATTTGTCTTTGATCTTAACGTGGTCGTTAAGGTTGCCGATGTGATTGTCCTGTTGACTTGATAATTTACTATTATGATATTAATGTGATAGTTAAATTTATTGACATGACAATTAACTTATTATATAACTATCCAACTTATTATAATATTATCGATTATTATAACAATTCTCTCACATACAAACTAGAAATGAGTTGAATGGAGCTTGAATAGTAAGAAATTCAAGCTCGATTTAAAGTATGATTAAATTATTTGATTTTAATTTGATTATGCTTGAGTTTAAATTTGTTGCATATACAATTTTTAAAAGGTTCAATAACATTTTAGGTTTAAGTGTATTAATTAAAAGTAAATTATTATTTTTAATATTACAAATATTGTGCATATAATATCAAATTCGGCTTGGCTCGACCTGATCAAATCAAATTTGAGGGTCTCTTTCTTTGGCGGTCTTAAACTTTAGTAGCTGGTTAGCACAATCAAACCGTCTGTTTTTGTTTATCGATGCACAAACGAGACATCTATGCTCACTATTTACATGAATTAGGGTTTGACACTGTTGAGCTGAATTCTAACTCGAGCATCTGGAAGCGCTCGACTAAATTAACTCATATAACTAATCAATTTTAATCCAAGCATGATCACAAATAATCGAGTTTTGAGGTCATTCATCCTACTTTCCTTAACATGATGATTATATTGGCCTGCGATATTGTGTATAATTTGGGAGCAACAATCTGCCTCATTCATGACTAGGGATGAACGTAAGATTATATATTAAGAGTACGAATTTTAAAAATTATATTAGAAATTTAAAAGTAAAAAGAAAATAAGAAATACTAAACTATAAGAGAATTTGAAATTTACACAGCATCCGCTCATTGAACCCTTTTCACGACCTTGCTCCTGCAATCGGGTTCTAGAGTTTTGTTTTTTACCTTTCACTTTCAATTCCATGTTTTATTTTTCATTTCCTTGATTCCTAGATTAATAAAAAAAAATGCAGAGTAAACGTTTGTGACGCATATTAATTAAAGGCAAACTTTATTTAATAAGATGAATTTTGGACATGGTAATGAATCATTTAGTTAATATATTGCACTGCTCTAAGAAAAACAATCAGAAAGAACAAAACTAACAAACCTCAAACTGGAGGTTCTAGACTGAATTTAGATCCTTCCCTTACATATTCCAAGGTTCCCCATGATCTGTTCCACAAAATGAGGACTCCTCCGATTGAGTTCAGCAATTTTACGTTTCTATTGCGAAGGTATACACTACCAATGGCACAGTGATGAACAATGTTGTCGTGGCAGCCTTCTAGTGTTTCGATATTTATAATTCTCACACCTGCAAATTACAATATAATGAAGGCTGTCGGATCAGATATTTGAACTTCTAAGTATTATGTTTTCTCTCAGGTAGACCCATTGGCGGGTCAGATTGGTTTTGGTAGGATCAATTGGAGTTATAAATTTTTTGAGTCACTTTGTGATTGGCTCAATTTCAGGTTTGAATCAGTTTCAAGTTGTTTCGGGTTTAGGCAATTTTGGGTTTGAATCATTTGGTGGGCTATTCAAGTCATTTTGAGTTATCATTTCATGTTGTCATTTGAGTTTGCAACTCGAGCTCAAGTCATTTCAGGTAGCATTCATCTTCGAGTTCAGCTGACACATTGTTAAACTCTTATGCTCAAATCGGTCGGGTAGGGTTAAGTTTTCATGTACCAATAAAAATTTGACAGGTCTACTCTCAGTGATAGAATTGATTGATTTGAAGAAGAAAATCTTACCATCATCTGAGGGATTCTGAGGAACACGAAAGATAACGAGTATAATATGCTGGAGATTACAACACCAGTAATCAAATTGTGGACGAGGCGCCTGTTGTCTTTGGTTGGCACAAAAGCTGATTTCAGTATATTTGTTAAATCAAAGAGTCTGTAAGATATCTGCAGGCAAGAGAACAATGTCAGTGGATGACTAAAGAGATAACTGAAGTTCCCAAAGATGACACCAGTTTACTTACTGCAAGGTATATGGAAGTAGTAAGCATGAAATTCAACATCGGGTAGTCTGGGATCAGAGAAAGCAGCAGCTTAGGCTGACCATCTGGATTCCCGGATCTGCACATTGATCGGTTATTAAGATATTGTATTCTATGATATAAGAGTTTGAATTACAGGATAGGCTCATTGCAAACAGTCGAAACGCCAAGAATTCTGGTGATGTCAACTTCAACTTACCTTAGCCAGATGTGGATCTGTGAGATATACGTCTCCAGTGTAATCTTTCCAAGCCAACTGGAAAACAAAAGACCTCGTTGATCATCGGCAAGTAAAAATAAAATAAAAGAAGAGATGAATTAAAGGCTACTTACGCAAAAAGGGTTAAACTGTAGCTTCTGAAGGACTGGGTAACATTTCTTAAACATATATAAACACTGATAGAAATAAGGAAACAAGAGTTGATCAGTAAATGCCAAAACATTCAGATATGTCAAATATCAACACAGTCTATATGAGGACCTACGTTATTGGGATCCATGAGGTATAAGGATGGTACTTATTGTAAGTGATCTTGTCAAGCTTGTAAATGTGCTCAAACCAGAGAAATCCAACCTACAAGTTTTATTAGAACTTCATGAATAATAGATGGAAATTCTAAGAAAATGAATGCAAATTAAAAGGCATATATATGATACCGTAATGGCAATTATTGACACAGCTATTTTGATTGATACTCTCCTCTTCACCTCTGTTTCCTCGAGTTTTTCCATCCACCATTCAACCTGCAATAGTAAATTCAAATATAGCTACTAAGTACATTATTCCTAAACAAATTGCATTAATTCATAGCAAGAAGATACAACGAAAAGATGGAAAATTATTGCGTCAGAACTTACAGTTGGATGGTAATATGCATATATCATTCCAATAATCCAAATGTAACGATCAAGGCCTGAGCGGAAATGCCACTCATGCATGCGAGGAAGGTTGGGCTTTGCGGGATCAGTATATCCTGGAACAGTTTTTATTTATATATTTCTCATCAATATGACGGAAAATTGCTAAAATAATATATTACACTTTGGAAAGTTACCCACCAAGGAAAAAGGAAAATGGGCTCCAGAGGAATTCAAATACTCCAGGCACTTCCCAGACTAGGATAACTACCAAGAAGCAGGCAATGATTTTTATAGCAATGACTGATCCTTTCTCATTGTACTTGTTCAGAATACCAAGTGCCCCATAAACCATAAGAGTGAATAGAGTATGCATGGGGCATATATAGTACAACATATAACTATTATTGAGGACAACACAGCAAAAGAATACCAAGAAATTGAGCCGCCACATCATCTGTTCAGCCAAAATAGTCAATAATGGAACTTGGAACATGGAAAAATTATAATGAGTAAATATATTTTTCAATTTAGGGGAACTCATAAGCCATACCTGTGCAAACCTAGCAAGACTGAAATCTTTGCGCACATAATAAAATGAGAAATTTCCAAATCCGGTCATCCACACATAAGCAGCAATGAAAATTCGGATAGCATTATAAATCTCTGTAGCTGCAAAGTAATGGTACATCAAAAATAGTACCTGTAAAATAAAAGGAGGGGAAATGTAAGCATAAGTATACCGATCCTTGTGTAGCGATGCTAGAACATTTGAAGCATAAGCAGCATCAGCCAAAAGAGTTTGCAGTTTATAGACAATCATATTCTATCATAACTAGACAGATTTCTCAAGAAGAAGAATTTACAGATTTAACACATCATTTCAAAGAATTACAAACCTGCATCCAACCTTTCCATTCCTCAGTTTGATGTCTGTTCAAATAAAGTATAGATTTCCCTGAAAACGGTGGCTTATCATGGTGTATCTTGAATGAAGTTATTGCCGAAACTATGATGAGAAGAAAGTAGAGGAACCAGAAAAGATCCCGATTGTAATTCTGCAGAGACATATAATGAATGAGGGACTTAATTAGCAAGCAATAACATCATTTTAAACAATGGTTATTGCAACAAAACTAAATTTGAAATGTAGTTAATATGTTTTCACATTTTCATCATTTCCTACTCCTACAACTTGAAATAATATAACCATGAAAGTAATCATCTTCACCTTTTGCGAAGAGGCAAACACATCAGTTCGGTCACATAGGTAATAGTATACCAAAGGAACACCGAATTCAGATCTATAAGATGATAAACACAAAAACACTTATAAATGGAGATCAAGTTAAATTACATGCTATTAATCAACAAATTGAAAGTTCACTTACATAGCTCGAAGTGTCAACCGATTCTCAACCAAGAATGTCCCATCCATCATAAGAAACCTTAACAAAATCGAAGCATATAAGTTCAGTAACCGATCTAAATAGAAAATAAATGAAAAGGAAAAGAACAAAAAAAATGCCCCGATGACAAACTTGAGAATTGGCGAAAAGGAAGATGTTGAAGACCGCGCTTTAGGAGAACCAGATTGAAGACCACCGCCTTCCAATAAAACCGCTCTATCTTCCTCCTTCACGGCACCATTTCCGATTTCGACTAAATTCACATCGGAGTGTCTACTAACAGAAATACAAAGAAAAACAAATGGAATTTTCACCAATAAATTACATTAATTAATTGTAAAAAAAATTACAAAATATAGAAATTCAGAGCTTACGCTTTGGACGCGGATGTATTTTTCTTGTATTGTAAATATTCCGCGTAGATCCAAGCTGAAATAACCGGAAATATGCCGAGAAAAAACGAAACCTATAAAACAATTCAAATAACAACATTTCATAATTATTTAAGAAAAAAAGGTTTAAAATGCAAGATCCGATAGCTTCGGAGAATGCTGAGGAGAATGGAAACGTACCTGACCGGGAGTGATCGGGCCGACGATCGCCATTATTTGGAAGTGTCAGTAAAAGAGGAAACAAAATGAAAAGTGAAGTTACGCCGCCAAAAGAAGGCGCATTTGAGCGTAATGAGTCGATTTAATAAAAGAAAAAGTACAGATCTGATAGAAATCTGGGAAGAGAAAGAAGAAGAGGAAGCGAATAACACGGGGAAATGGATTTGATTTTGGAAACTAGTAGTGTCTGGAGAACCAAGAATAAATAAATGAAAATGAAATTAATTAATTAATTATTAATTAAAAGTAAATCCAATGTGTATTTGAGAAAATAGAGACCTATGTCTTTCATTTTTTTTAAACTACGCGTTTAATATTTAAATTATAAGTTTTAATCCGTTTTAATATCTAATTTTTTTAAAATCATAGATAATTTTTAATTTTTATTTCATTTTATCACTTCTGTGTTAAAAACTTAACGCGTTTAATACCTAAACTATCAATTTTGATTCGTTTTATTATCAAAACTTTCAATTTTTTCCAAAACTTAACATTAAGTTTTGAACATGTACTAAAATGAAGAAAAAAACAAATGTTAGGTATGGCTTAAAAAATTGTAAGTTTATGTACTGAAACATACAAAGAATGATAGTTTAAGTACTAAACGTGTACTTTATCTTTCTTTTTTTTATATTAAAGTTATTAGAGTAAAGTACATAAATTGTCCTAATTATATGGTGTTGTTTTGTTGAGTCATCTGATTATTAAAAGTTATAGAATAATTCTTCGATTATAAGACATTATTTTTTGAGTCCTTTGACTATTAAAAATTATAAAATGATCACTCGATTACTCATATGTTTTAAACTCATCTTTGCTGTTAAAAATTGATGGACATGTGAGTTGGATGTTAACTTATTGACTGTAATATAATAAAATATGATCTCAAAATCGTTTGAGTTGTATTTTATAGATTGACTCTCTATTTATATTATGTCGTTGAGACAATGCTTGAAACATTATGATATCGAGCCATTGCTTGAAAGCAACAATGATTCCAGTAGACATTTCAGTTAGAAAATTAATGTACAACATAGACAGTTGTTAACTTTTTAACGAAAAATGACGAGTTTGGAATATATTAATAGTTTGGTGATTGTTTTGTAATTTTTAATAATTAGAAGACTGTCTTATAATTTTTAATAGTAGGAAACTAAAAAAACATTGTCCTATAATTAGATATCATTTTATAAATTTTTAATAGTCCGAAGATTCAATAAAGTAATGCCTTATAGTTAGGGACCGTTTGTCTATTTTACCCAACTTGTTAAATAATTGATAAAAGTTTAAATCCACGATTGTATTTTAGGGTGTGGGTGGAATTAATATTTAATAGATATCATTAAATAATAATTAACTAAAGGGAAATAAATGATTAAAGAGGACGCGTGACTGAACTGTCGACAGATGAGGTGTTGGGAAAATTGTGAAGAGCGTGATGTGGATACACACACCACCGACATTAATTCGGTGAGAGTGGACAGTGAAGTGATTGATCCCCCACACCATACCCCTATTTCAGTTATATGGCTCTCATGCCACTTGAGCCTTCATCTCAATTCCCGACCCACTTTTCACTACTTGGGCTCTTTAGTTTTTATATATATGAATATGAAAACTGAACATACATTTTAATGAAATATATAGTGTATTGCAAAATTTTAATTTGATTGATTATTCATTTCGTTAAATCATTATTGATGTATTATAATTTTATGGTTACATATTTGGGGATGGATATTTGATTAAATGTAACGGATTCTAATTTTATTAGATATGATCGAGTCAATTTTTAATTTAAATTCATATTGGGTTAGATTTTTTTTTCTGAAGAATAAAATCATATCATGTTTGGACTTAGAGTAAAAAATTCAACTCAACCTAATATAATATTATAAAATTTTCTCATATATTTAAGAAAATTGCAATAATGTCCCTTTCCATACTATTTTCTCAATTAGATTCTTATTTTATTTAATAAAAATAAATTATATATTTGGGTCGAATATAGATTTTTACCTCAAAAATCAAATCTAATAAAATTCTCCTAAACTCAAAACGAATATAGATTATAGATTTTAATTGTCAGGTCGAACTTAAGTGCGTCAAAACTTCAATATGACCCCACCCATAACCCTCTCTATCCATATTAAATACCCAAATAATTATATCTTTTCAAATGTATACAATTAAATAATAAAAAAACAGAATTTCATGCATATATAATTGTATTAAATTAAATTTTATGTATCAGAATTTATATTTGATTACAATTTTTATGTGTTTTCAATATTTATCCTTTTTTAAATATATATTTTTAAGTTATGCATAAATGTTCAAATCTTAAGATAAAATATTGGGTTGGTAGATGGACTAGAACCAGTTCAGCCCATTTTCATAAAAATATAGGCCCTTCCAGTCCAGTCCAATCCAAAATAGCAGTAAGACAAGTTCATCCAACACAAGAATTTTAAAGGAAGAACCAAACTAGTAAAACCATGCTAAGTTTACAGTTTAATCTAACATCCTAAAATTACATAAATCCTAAAGCAATTCCACCCCCACCCCACCCCCAATAATGCTCCTTTTATCTCAAAGAAGCATATTACCAGATTAAAAGTACAATGTAACAGATAATAGTACCGAACCATGATGATACAATACAACCAAAAATAGAATGCACAGCATTACGCATCCTACCGTTCTTTTCTGAAGCAAAAAACAGAGTTTCAAGAGATCAACACCTATGTGAAGGGGCCGGCCCTATCGCTTGGAGGGTCGCTCATCATCTTCTCCACTATCATCATCCTCATCATCTTTGTTCGATCTCTTCCTCTTGGATGGAGCTTCAATTTTTTCACCACTCCAGTCGTCATCGTCATCATCGTTATCATCTTCATCCTCCTCGCCGTTTTCGTCTGGTTCAAAATCACTAGCATCTTCAGCACGAGCCACGGGCCGAACAAGGTATTCTGTTCCCATATCCTCCTACAAGACGGTAAAAAGAAATGCCAAAACCAATATTTAACAAAACAATTTGCCACTGATGGACAGTAGTAAATTTTTTAATAAAGAAATTCTTTGATTTTGAGCAATTTTATACAATATTTTTTTAGCTTGGTAGAAAGTACAGGGGGGAAATGTTCATAAAAGGGTGCCACAATTTACTAAAATATTGAACCTACAAGCTTTAAAAGAAAAGGAATCACTATTTCTCTTGCTTTATGGGATGAGGGTACATAAAAGAATTCCACCCAATCAACACAGAGAACAAAATCCAGATGAACTCGCATACTATAGAAACGTTCTCGAAAACCTTCGCTTTCATTGAGAATCAGATAACTGGAATTTAAAGCCCTGCCTTTGGATATAAGGAGACCCATAGGTGATTGAGCACAACTGAGAAACAAGAGAATAATAAGCCTTGGATCTAAAGCTTCAAAGATTTTTCATACAAAATTTTGGAAAATATGGTGTACTTTATATCAAGCAAACAAGAGAACCCGTTGATTTTGGTAAAGTTTCAAGAAGGTATTGTGTTTTGTTCGAAATGATAAACTTAGTCCAAGATTCATCGGACCTTTCGAGGTGATAGAGATAGTTGTATCCGTTGTGAAAATGAGTAATCAGTTTAGTACCTACGCTAAATCAATACCAAGTGTTTACAGATCTGTGACTAAATAGCTCTAATTTTTGTTCAGTCTAAAGATACAGTTAATGGACTAAAAGCCGCCAGTTATATTCTTATTTCCTCGACATAGAACTATAAAGATAGATCTGAGGAGGAGAACATGAAGAAACTCCAAAAGTCCTCCCAGAAATCGATGAAAATTTAATCTGGATTTTAATAATCGTAAAAAGGATCCCCGACATTTGAGGCTTTAACCTCAGTCACTGGCGAGAGAATCAAATGATTAATAGACATATGATATAAGGGAAACCACCAGATGGATCTGAACAGTTTCAGCTTCAAAAAAGACTTCAGAACACAGAATTTTGAACTAACCACAATTATTAACTGGAATTATATTATAGTAAAAAGAATTTACCTCCTCTTCACCTTCCCCATCATCATCATCACTGTCGTTGTCGTCGTCGTCGGCATCGTCATCACCGCCGTCATCTTCGTCCTCGGCGTCCTCGTCCTCGTCCTCGTCATCAACTGACTGAACTGAAGGACCACCGGAAGAATGAATAGCCTGCACTTCATCATCATCGTCTTCGTCGTCCTCTTCCTCTTCCTCTTCTTCTTCGCCGTCTATTTCACTTCCATCTTCACCGTCCGCCTCTTCCTCTTTCATGACCCTAATTTCCTTCTTTTCCTCTTCAAAATCCATCTCTTCCAGCAACCTCATCTTCAAAAAGAGATTTGTTTCTTTTTCGCATAATAAAAACCAGAAACTTGGAAGAGATAGCTGGGAGAAGAGAGGGAGAGGGGAAGCTTGTTTGCTCTCTCTACCAGTAGCCTCTGCAACTGCAATCTCAGCCGTCAAAAACAACGATTTACGAGGATTGATGACGTGGAAATAGATCGAACCGTCTTTACGGCGAGCTATTTTGTTTAGTAGTTTCGTGGGAGAAACGAGCCGGAAAATCTAGGGTTAGGGGTTCTTTTTCCCTTCCTTCTTGAAAATACTCCAATTACGGCTCTAAATCCAACACAGTGAGGCTGAGCCCACACTTTGGAAATGGTCACTTAAGGCTCAAAAGGCTCTTTTTAACTAAAAAGTTCGGAATACAAGTTAAAAGACCAAAACAGTTTTCCTAGTATGCACTTTCATAACATTAGGGGTGAGATTGGAATTTAGGGTTTAAGGTTTAGGGTAAGATTTGATTTTAGCAACAGGATTAGGCATTTTATGTTTGATCGTAGAACTTGATGGTAGAACTTGATGTTAAATGAGTGGTCGATGGGCTCGAGTTTGGGGGTGCTAATTTGGATCTCAGGTTATGTTTTGGGCCTTAAACTCGGGCCTATACAGATTGGAGTGATGACATGATGATTGTCACTAAAATTAAAGCCAAGCATGGATTAAATAAGTAGGGATTCTTTTTGTTATTGCCAAATTTTTAGGTATTAAGATGGATAAGGTTTGTTGGTGATGTTGTTTGAGTCAGAGATAGTTTATTGGGTGAGTGTGTAACATCCTAAAATCTTAAATTAACGTTTTTCCGGACTCAATTATCGGAAATTTTGATTTGGTTTATTTGATTAAATAATAATTTAATCCGGGGTCAATCTGGAAACCAAAAATAAGTAATTGATAGTTGAGGGACTAAAGTGAAAGGAAGATGAAAGTTGGACTTTCCTGAGTTATTGTACCAATTAAAGATAGATAGTATATTATTATGTAGCTATAAGCTTAGGTATCGTGAACTTATATTTTATAAGTTTGATTTCATTAGTAAAATAGTTTATATTTTTGTTAAATGAATTAAAAGATTAAAACAAGCATACTCCTAAACTTTCCTCAGCAATTCGGTTAGAAAAAGAGATCATCAGAAGATATCTTCTCCAAGCTCTTTTTTCTACTATCAATTATATAAAGTTTTAAGTTGGGTAAGATTAATTCCTAACAGTAAATTTTAGTTTATAAGTTTATGTATATGATTCATAGTTTTGATCTTGTTTTTTTGATAGATTTCAATTGTTTTAAATGTGTTTTGTGTTTAAAGATAAAGAGGATTTGGTGGTAAAGGGAATTTGAATAATCTAGAGTTAATTGTGTTATATGTCCTCGAAATGTAACAGTAATTTTAAATTAGTCCCTAAATTTTAAAATATTTTAATTTCATTCATAAACTACGAATATCATTCTAAATTAGTCCTTGAAAATTTGAACATTTCAATTGCATCCCTAAACTATGGAAATCATTCTAAATTGGTCCCCACACTTTTTAAACATTCCAATTTAATCTCAAATTATACGTATATACTAATCACATCCATTGTTAATAAATCGTTAGGCCACATTATATTATTATATGTTTGGAAAAAATAAAATTTGGGTTAAACTATGGTTGAAACTAATTGAATATTTGGATGAATTTGAGGATGAAATTAGAATATTCAAAAGTTCGGGGATTAATTTAAAAAGAGGATCATAGTTTGGGGATGAAATTGGAAGATTTCAATTCCACGTTTATTTACGTGCGGGTCATCTTCGTTGCTGTGTCTTTATCACCACTATTCCTCAATAAATATAATAAACTTGGTCTAGTTCTACCTTCGATCCCTCTACTCTTCAAAATTTTGAATTTAACCCCTTCACTTTTAATTCCTATACTCGTTGATTTGAAAATCCACTTCTAATTCTTGAGAAGTGGGAGTGGTTTTTGGGATTTATGGAACATCTGGGAATTTTCACTCCATGCTATTAGAATAAAGTGTAGTGGTTGCATGAGATTATGGATCTAGTCATTGAGTGTGAGTTGGATGCTAGAGTGGCTTAATAACTTATAAAAGCTAACGATGTTAATATACACCCTATGAGGGCAATTATCGCGGACATACGAAATTTAAAATCTTATAATTGGGAGATAAACTTCAAGCATACTTTTCGCGAAATAAATTTTTAAACCGACATTCTCTTGAATATGGGTTGTAGCATCCATGCAAAACTTGTGTCACCACCTGAAGAGATTCTTCATTGCCTGGGCGCTAATGCGAGGGAAATTACATTCCCTAGAGGATTTAGAATGCTTTTTCAAGTTTTTTTTATCTCTTTTGTAACAAAAAAAAGTCTTCTTCCAATAATAAACAAATTAGAAGGACTAGAACCCTAATTAACCTTAATTCAAGGGCACTAAGATCTTATCCTTGCAGTATCACGTGGACCTTGACAAAAATCTAGCGTATAACATTTAAATAAGCCCTTTAAATCCAAAAAAATTAAAAAGAAAAAAATATCCACTTTAAAGATGTATTAAATACAACTTAAATATTAAGCTAGAAGACTCCCTTGTAAGTAATAAGTAGAAAAGGAAGATCATGTGGCGGATATGGCGGCTGGCTTCCGAGCTCACCCCTCCCACGTGGGTTTTCCGGTGGCCGGAGTTCAACTTGTCGTATTTGAGCGGTGGCTGGAGCTTGAGGTGGCGGGATTTTTCCATCGTGGATGACGTGTTGTGGACTTTCGTCACGGTTTTGGAATCCTTAGCTCTTCTATCTATGCTCTGTTTCTTCTTTGTTTTCTGTGGTTGTACGGTTTGATTCATTCACAACCCAGAAATGTTTAATTAGCAATTCCAATCTCAATCTTACATGCTTATGATTACTTGCCCCTGTCTTTAGTTTCTCTCGTTTCTTGCTGTTGTATACTTGTTTTGCTTTCACAGCTCCATTTCTTGTTGGAAAAAATTAGGACATAATTAAGTGTTCACTAGATTTTTTTTTCTTTCTTTTTGCTCTTTATGAATTTTAGAGTAACACCTTTTTCTCTTATTTCTTATTTTTCTTCTTTTTTTATCATCAACTTATGAATGATCAAAGATCTAATAAACTCATCAAGAGATAAATATACTCTTTATTTCAATAACTACGATTTTCTTAGTTTGCCAAAATTTTTGTAAGTTATGGAGCATCTTCTTTATAGTTTTTTAATAGAGATTGATTTCTCATATCCTTTGAGAGCGTTGATAATGATAGAGAATTTATGACATGATACATATCTTAATCTAGCTTCATCTTTAAAATTGTATAGTTGAGAGTTAGAACTTAGAAGATCAATCTTTGTTTCCTTTACACTCTTATAAGTGACCTCTAATTTATCATATATCTTTTCTGCACTGAAACAAAAGAATATTGAAATCAAGTGTACAAAATAAAGAGAGCAGGATCTTAATATTAAGTTAAATTTCCGTCTTCGTTACAATCTTCCATCTCTTTTGTTAAAGTTATGTATTCTTTCACGATGATTTCACAAGCTCCAAAATCACTTGCCTGAACAAATAACTTCATTTAATTCTTCTTATAATCACAATTGGTCTTTTTGAAGTGTGGAGATTGGTTGATTGGTTGTGCGTCTTCAATATAATAAAAACTAGAAGTGTAAGTCTTTCTTTAAGGTTGATGTATGTATTAATAAATCCCTTCAAAGACCTTCTCAAGATTGTCGAACTCTTAATAGAAGCGTGCTTAAATATTAATTTTAGCTCTATCAGTCAACCAAATAATATTAAGAGTGGGTAAAACAATTTTTAAAAAAAAAAAATTAGGAGTAATAAAAAAATAATTTACATAATGATTTAGACGGTTTAACTTCTAAAATAAGTCTACATCTAATATTTTAGCTATTCACACTAAAAACTTTCTCAAATATACTATATTTACTTGTTGAAAAGTTGTGATAAATTGGAAACTTTGAGCCATATTTTAAATGGATAAATGTGAAAATTCGAATGATGAATTTGTTGATTCATATTCTATTTCGAGAGGCTTTGCTCAAAAGGTAGAGTCTTCCGGAGATTTTATTGATGAAGATTTAGTGTTCTCGGGAGAGTTTTCTCCAAAGGTATAATAATATCTATATATTTTTATAATTAAATTTAAATAAAATTATTTAATTGAAATTTAACTCAAACTAACTAATCCAAAATCAAAACTATTTAATTCAAACTTAATCCGATTGAAGAAAATCAAACTGATCGAATAATCTAACTCATGTAAATGATTGGAGCACCGGAAAAAAAAGATGAGTTAGGGAAAGGTGGGACTTTGGCTGCTTATGAATATTATTGTTGCAAATTTTGTAAGCATCGGTCTTTCAGTACATGAGGCTCAGAGTAATAAAGAGGCAATAGATTCAACAATAACACTAAGATCATGCACGGCCTTATTTCCACCGGAGATGGGCGAATTGGTCGAGCTTTTTCCAAAGCGATCTTCACAATCCTGAGCATTATTCCCTGCATCAGTTGCATACTCAACAGCAAATTTTGGGTCGCCTTTTTCGAGTGCGTCAATGGCCACTGGGATGTCATGTTTGATGATCATGTTATATAACTCAACGCACCCGTTCAAGGCTTTTTTCAATTTGGGATCTGTTGCACTTTTAAGCAACGTTGAAATCTGATTCAACGTGGCACTGGCTTTAGCATTGGCAGTATCGGCCACGATGCAACCGAGTACCGGGACATCAGCACTCGAACTCCGGGGATCGGATTCCAAAGTCGAGATGCATAGATCCAAATATGGAGTCTGTTTGCATGTGGTTTCAATAAGGGAGTTGGCTGAGTAGCTTAGAGGGAAGAGAGTGAAGCAAAATAGAGCTTGAAGTACAAGTAAAGAGATGATTTTGGTCATTTTTGGGTGTTGATGAATTTGAAAATTGGATTGGTTTATTTGAAATTGCTTTGGTAAAAACGAATTTATAGGCCCCTAGTTGGTTTTCTCATTGGTCATATATTGGCCTAAATAAGGCAATAAGTTTAATGTTGCAAATCTGCAATTTAATATGGTCAAAAAGGTATCTGATTTGAAAAACAAACAAAGCTAAAGATGTCCCGTTTATTTCAATGCAAAACAAATCTCAATAATAAATTAAATGAAATTCATTAAATGATATATAAAGTGAATATAAAGTAACATTTGTATACGATTAAAGACTCTTAACCATTTGACAATAAACACTAATATTTTTGTATATATGGTACTCAAATCTATGATCTCAAAAAGATAACAACAAATATCTAATCTCTTAATTACCAAATTCGTGTGGTTAATGCAATTGTTTTACATATTAAAACAAACGAAAATGCATTTAACTTAATTAAATAAATGGTAAATCTTTATGTATAACAACCTTTTTTTCTTCTCGTCCTAGTTAATAATTTTTAGATATGAAAATATTTTATTTCCTTTCTTTGTGACCAAAACTTATTTTTAGAAGGTGCTAAATTTATTAAAAATATAAAATATCTTAAATTATAATGAAGATTTATAATCGTAATCATAAATTAAACATATGATTAGAAAAATTTCCTATAATTATGGTAAAAAATTAAGATTTTAAACTTACTTAATGTAATTTTTTAAATTATTTAAATATCTAACTAATTATATAAATTATATTGGGTTTAAAAATATAGATTAAGATTTTAAAGTGAATTTATGATTAAATTTTTATATAATTGCAAATGTAACATATTGTCATTCATATTTTAGATAAAATAAAATTTTTAATGTTTTTTTGGTAAAGTATATAAAGGTTCTCGATATAAGATTTTGTTTTGTTTAGTCTTTTGACTATTAAAAGTTGTAAAATGATCCATCAATTATCATGTATTATTTTGTTGGGTCCACTAAATATTAAAAGTTACAAAATGATCACCAGACTATTCATACGTTTCATAATCTTCTTTTGCTATTAAAAAATTGATGGTAATTTAAGTTGGACGTTAACATGCTTACTGAGATATGATAAAATTATATTTTAATTATGTCTATTAACACGATCGTTGTTTTCAAGCACCGACTCGATGACATGATGTAAACGGTTTTATAATCATATTTTATCATACCAAGTCAGAAAATTAACGTAAAACTCAGACGATCATCAATTTTTAACAAAAAATGATAAATTTGAAACATATGAACAATAAATTACTATTTTATATTTTTAAATAATCAGGGACTCAACAAAATAATATTTTATAATTGAAGACTATTTCTACACTTTATTTTATCACAAAATAACGTCTTAATATAATTAGTATAATTGATCTAACTTTTTTTATATATAGAGAGAGAGACTAATATAAGGCTAAAAATGGTGTAACCGGAAATTTAATATGATAATTAACAAATACGGTAAAGCTCTACCGGAAATGTTGACAGATTCATAATGTTGTAAGTAGAAAACATGAAGAACTATTAAAAAAATTAGTAACCGATAAACTTTGGTTATCGGTAGATATCGATACATATATATAAGTATTTATACTTTACTGTGGAAAACATTAATTTATTGTTACATTTTGAGTGAATTTTAAAATATTAATTTAATAATTATAAATGTATAATGATTTATTTGTATGCTATGTTATATATTATTATTAAATTAAAAATAATAAACACAAATATTACATATTTATTATTATCTTTAGTTAAAATTGTTAAATTTAAATTCTAAATAATATTTTATAAAAAAATCTAAATAATCAAATAATTTTTGTGTGTAAATAAAATTATTAAATTAATGTTGTAGGCGGAAAATATGAAGAATTATTACAAAAATTTGAAACATAAATTGCATAGCTTCAATATTTATATATATCTATTCTAAAAGTATGAGTATTGTTTCAACAGTAAGTTATGTCTAACTATTATCCTGCAAAAGTATTCATACCTATATTGTATATATCAATACTTATATTTAAAAACTTAACCGGTTAAAATAAAACAGACGCTACCTATTACGTTAAACTACATACTGATTTTTTTTAAGGTTACTAATAATGTAACCGTAAAATAAAATAGACGCTACCTATTACGTTGAAATACCTATATATGTTTGTTTAAAAGTTTCTAATAATGTAAACGGTAAAATAAAATAGGCATTACTTATTATATTAAACTACATACCGGTTTGTTTAAAGGTTACTAATAATGTAAACGATAAAATAAATTAGGTGCTACCAATTACGTTAAACTAGCTACCAGTTTGTTTAAATGTTAATAATAATGTAAACGGTAAAATAAAATAGATGCTATATATTATGATAAATAGGCGATATCTATTACGTTAAATAAGCGTTATCTATTACGTTAAACTAGTTACCAGATTGTTTAAAAGTTAATAATAATGTAAACGATAAAATAAAATAGACGCTACTTATTATGTTAAATAAGCTCTACCTATTACGTTAAATAAGCGGTACCTATTACATTAAACTAGCTACCGGTTTGTTTAAAGGTTAATAATAATGTAAACGGTAAAATATATACAACTTAACCGTTTGATTTTTTTTAAAATTCGAAAGTATTGATACTTGTAGGTTGATGTGAGGGGTGGAGTTTATCAAATTTTTTTCAAAAATATCGATACATCATATATCAATTATTGATATTTTAACATTAATCAATTTCTTCAAATGTTAAAGTCACGATAACAGTCATCAAAACTAAAAAATCCAAAGTATTGATATCGGATATTAATAATTTTCCTGAATACGTACGGATACATATACACTAAATTTTTACAAAGATATTTTAATGAAATATTGTAAATAAGTCACTTTCAATCTTAACATTTCAAATTTTCTCCCTAAATTAGCAAGTTTCTAAAATGATAAAATATCGAACATCATAGATGATATTGATATTTGCTAAGTATTAACCATCAGATCATAGTAATATCGATATTTATTTTAAAAATAATTGTCATCCAAATATATATATGATATTAAATCCTACCGATATCATTAAATACAACTTTAATATTTCATATTGCAACATACTTCTTTATTCAAAATAACATTATTGGGCGCAACCTCGTATGTTAATATTTATTTATAACAAAATAAGAAATTAACCTATTTTGTTGTCGTCGAATTTCGAAGGTCCATCAGCTTAAACTTTGGTAACATTTTAGGCGCTACCTAATATATTGATAATATTAATAACAAAATAAGTAATTAATCTATTTTGTTATCGTCGGATTTCTAAGACCCATCAACTTAATCTTTGATAATATTTTATGCTCTACCTAATATATTGATAATATTAATAACAAATTAAATAATTAACCTATTTTGTTATCGTCAAATTTCTAAGGTCCCATCAACTTTAAATAGACGCTATCTATTATATACGACGATAATTATCAATAATTAATCGGTTATATTAAAATAAATATTTTTTAGTATATTTTACATACGACAATAATATTCTCAATTATTACCATTATTATTACTAACACAAATAATATTTCTAATAAAAACATATAACATTTTTAGTAATACTTTTAATTAATCACTTATTTAATCTATCACATTATTTTTTAACCGTATTTTAAGACTCACATAAATTACATAATACCCTCCCGAAATGGTGAGTTGCCGTGCCCCCTTCAAAATTCCATTCACTCGCGCTTTTTTGGCTTTGGTCTGTATTTAGTAGTTACTTTTCTTCTTCCAACTTGTTTACTGTTTGGTTTTTATTTTCTCTGCAAAATTCGATTAGGGCTTCAAACTTTCAGCTAACCACTCAGCAAAGCTGGATAGGCACAGAGGCGACCGCTACGGCGATAGCAACAACCATGACTCTTACTTCAATAACATCAATCCCTATCGAGTCGCCTCGCGTTTCTCCGACGCCTCTCCTATGAGCCGCTACAGCACCAATAACGACGCCAACAGGGATTCCAACGACAAGTTTGATACCCAAGGTCTCTATGTCCACCATCGACGTAGCCCTAGCAATTTCCGAGGAGGACATCATCCGTTCGATAGTCCTCCTCTTCAACCTCTCAACAGCGGTAGTGTAGGTGGAGGAGGAGGAGGTTTTCGCCCAATTGGTGGTGCCTCAGGTGGCGGAGGAGGGGGAGGGTTTCGGCCTATGGCTGGTGGTTTCGAGAGTAATTATCAACAACCTCCACCGCTTCCTGTGCAACAAACTTACACGGGACAGAAACGCCCTTTTCCCTTCTCTGGCCGTGGAGGTGAACCTCCCAACAGAGGTTCGTTTTACTTCTTACAATTGGAAGTTATTATATATATATATATATATTTCAATTGTATTTTTCTCAATCATATACTGCTTTCACTAATTGGATTTGTCGTCAATTCAAAGGATTTTAGAATATTTCCTTATCTTTTTCTTCTCTTTGGTGAACTTCCATTTTGAAGTATAAATTTACCAAGTGCTCGACATTTACTTATAGTTTTTGTTCTTTGGCTGCTTGGATGATTTAGCTACAGATTATTTTGTCTTGAATTTTCCTTTTAATATTCATATCTGCCTTTCTTTTATTGACTTTTGACCATTATAATTGCATATCCTGACCATTACTTGCATATATTATTGACTTAACCTTTACTTTCATTTTTTTTCTTTGTCAATATCGATTTGGTGGTGCTGGCAGTGGTGGAAACTTTGCCAAACTTTTTGTGGGATCTGTACCAAAGACAGCCAGAGAAGAGGATGTATGTCGGTTCATGTGACGGATATGGATTGAATAAATACCACTTTACCATCTAATATTTATATATTTTACGTTTTGATATTATTTCTTGCACAAATGATTTTATTCATCTTTTTACAGATTCGACATGTATTTCAACAACATGGAGATGTGACGGAGGTTGCTTTAATAAAAGATAAGAAAACAGGCCAACCTCAAGGTATGTGTGAATGTTTTTTCATTGTTAGATATTTTTTATTATGCGTATCTCTTTTCAGGTCTGCTGAGAGGCTGATAGGAGCGAACATAAGCTCATCTTCATCTCAGTTTGTTTTTGGTACACGTTTCGCGCATGTTGGTTTTGGTTGCTTCCACCTTTTTCTTTTGTTGCTCCTGCCAAAAAAGGAGAGAAATGTAAACCCATTAAAACCTGGTTTATGTATAGAAAAAAAGTAGGGAACTTGTACTGCAAACAGAACCTGTTCTTTAAGTAATGGATTCTGTTGCGAGGGCAATAGCCAATAATTAATTGTCCTGGAAATGTCTATTTCTGTTACTGTAGTATATATAAATATATACCTTAAAGGATGTGCCACTTTTGTATTATGTATAAACAGAAATTCTATGATTGTTGTGTTGAATGGTTTATATCATATTATTTGTTGCAAGATTTCTGTTCTTGACTGTTATCTTGGAGAATCTGGTAATTCTTACTTCTATATGGGGATAATTTTTATGAGGACTGGTTTTATGTTTACGTGATGGATTTGAAGTTGGTATTTTATTAAATATGGATGGTAGTTCAGTTCTATGTGTTGAAAGTTCCTTGGTTCTATGCATTGTGGTACTTGGAGCTTTACAAGCATCTTTCTTTTGTAGGATTAATATATGCTAATGGAAATTGATTGGTTGCTGACCGTGTGTACTTGGGCATGTTGGTTGAATTATTTTCTATAATCGGTTGGATGGCTAGTCTGTACTGGTGGTCAGCTCATTTTCTGCATTGACTTGAATGCTTATAATAATGCCAAAAATTCTTTGGGAATTTTCTTATTTACAATAGGAAATTGGTTGGTAACTGTGTATTGGGGCATGTTGGTTGAATAATTTTCTATAATCGGTTGGATGGCTAGTCTATATTGATGGCCAGCTCATTTTCTGTATTGATATGCTTATAATAATGCCAAAAATTGTTTTGGAATTTTCTTGTCTACAATAGGAAATTAGTTTCTCTCGCTGCTGTATGTTGTGACTACAACCTGATGCAGCAGTTCATTTCATTGGTTGTTTACTTATCAAATTTGCGTTTATGCTCTAGGCTGGCTTTGTTGTTAGTTTTCTCTTTTTTTCTTTTAATTTTCCACGAATCTATGCGATATTAATATGTTAGGGTAGTTCATCTTGTTGATGTTTATTTTATTCCACCTATCATGTCCCATTGGAAAAACAAAGGCTGCTTGCTGCAGATTTTGGATGCTCCTAGGTGGTCCCTTTTTTGTACTTCTCATTGTTGATTGCATCAGTTGTGCCAGTGTGGGGGCCGACAGATTTCTCATTTTGAGGAAGCTCATTTTCCTTTTAGCTTGGATGCTGTTGTGGAATGTGAATGTTGTAATGTGTATGGAGGAATGAGTGTATTTGAATTTAAATCAACATGGAGGAATTGGTGTATTTGAATTTAAATCAATATGGAGGATCAGATTATAGAAATTGTATTGCATAGTTACCTGAATATGTTGTTCCCTTCTATCAGATGGCTTTGTGAAACATTTTTTTTTCCTGTTTGTGTCTACCTATTGCAATATATGATAACTTTTCTATGAAAATTCCTTGTTAGGTTCTCCACTTTATTGTATTTTCAACCATGTTTCTATCCAATTCTCAATCCAATTATTATTATTGTACCTTCTCCTTATGTATTCTTCATTGTTGTGAGTTGTAAAGGCCGATGTGGTTGTACATTATTCAGAGAGAACTGTAGCCTTATTTGTAGGTTTGTCAAAGCTTCATTTTATGGGATACTGGTGAGGAGTTGATGATTTCTCTGAGTGATTGAGTCTATGTACTCATTGATGCTTGGTGAAGTGAGTGCTCTGATGATTCTGTCTTGGAACGATTAGATGGAGCTTTAATAGGTCTGGTCTACGTACAATAATTTGATTTATTTCAACCCCGAAACAGCAATACAACTATGAATTTTCGGTAGATTTGGCACTTCGTTTCTTTTAGTGCTTGTCAATTGAGGATTTATGTTTTCTGTACCGATTTGGTTCTTGAGAGATGTGATGTGATTCAAATGTTTGTACAAATTTGGTTCTTGAGAAATGTGTGGAGACGGTGGAATCCCAGATTCCTTTTGTTAGTGTGAATATGTCTACTGTAAGTATGCAACATATGGTGCCTAGGTTAGATTTGTTATCTCCATACTTAATGAGTTAGTAGTTTAAATGATATGGATGTCTTATCTGCACAGCAAGCTTTTTTGCTGTTGATTGTCTCTTATATATTGATGCCCTTAGCCTTTGTATGTTATTTGCTTAATTAGAATTCTAGAAAATGTATGGTGAGGGATTTGTTTTGAATTGGATGAAAATGACGATGGGAGGCCTAAAATGCTTGCTCTTTGGTTCTAAGGTCATCGGACCCTAGATTTCTGTTCTGCTTGGTGCTTGTGTTATGAACATTGATTATCTTATTTGGGGCCCATTGTGAGAGAATTCATGCCACTTGGCATATTGTTACGTGCTATGCACATTGATCATATTATTTGGGGCCCATTGGGAAAGAATTAATGCTGCTTGACATTTACTCAAAAGAAAAACTATAATGTTGCTTGACATATTGTTATGTGCTATGCACATTGATTATCTTATTTGGGATCAATTGGGGAAGAAATAATGCCGCTTGACTTATTGTAACGTTCTATGCACATTGATTATCATATTTGGGGCCCATTGGGGGAGAAATGATGCCCCCCTTTGACATATTGTCATGTGTTTTAACGTGAATGACAAATAGTTGTTTTTGTAGAGTTCTGATTTCTCTGTGCGTTAGAGCCTGTCGCTGACACCTCTAAGTTGCTTGTTTGGGACTGGTTGGGAGAGAGGTAGAGTTAAGGTTTGAATGTTCTTATGTGTTTTCTGTGTAGCTCCCTCTGGGGGGTATCTGGATGCTTGCCTTGCTTTTTTCTTTATGGTTTTGTTATATCCTCTCTACACGTGCCCCTAGAAGTTCTGTTTGTAAGCTTGGTGGTGATTATTTTCATGGCAAATTGAGTCTGTTCAGCTTCCAGCTTATTAGAAATTATTGTTTTTTTCCCATTTCTCTCTCTTTCTGCCTCCTACTTTTCTGACTGTATTTCTTTAAATTCTTTTGGTTTTATCTGGTTTGGTAGTTGGTACATGGATTTAAATGCGATGATCAGCAAGATTTTTCTTGTGGGTCGTTTTCTTGAACGTAGCAAACCGTTGGTTGATTAGTTGCATGTTTTAAGCAAATTATGATTTAGTAATATATTTATTTTAAATAACTAAAGCAGATGGACTTGCCACTTTTATACTACATACTCTCTAGTTCTACCATCTTCTGTTAAGTAGTTATCTGGAAGGGGTGTATTCTGTAAATTGAGTTATTTGTGTCACGTTACACTGCCTAGACAGAGATATGATTAGTTGAAAGTGTTTGCTCTTCTGACAATTCTGATATAGTGGTTGACATATGTTTTATTTTTGTGTGGGATGTGCTAAATGAAAATAAATTTTATTGTAAAATGGTTTTTTGGATTCCTCCCCAACCCTTTCTTTTTCTCGCTACATTTATATGCAACTGTAACAGCCTTATTTTACGACACATGGATCTTTTGGTTGCGTGTTTTTGTATGTACCTGCTTATCTGCACCATTTCTGTGGGTGCAAGTGATCCAACAAAATTAGAATTAAAACCCTGGTTGAGCAGGATGTTGTTTTATAAAATATGCAACCTTAGAAGAAGCCGATAGGGCTATTAGAGCCTTACACAATCAACATGCTCTGCCTGGGGTGAGGTCTTTTGCCCCTTGTGATTTTTTTTGTTTACTTATATATTCTGAAATGGTTTTACATTCTCTTACAACTGAAATTGTTGTTCATTCTCATGCACATTCACAGGGAGTGGATCCTATCCAAGTCAGATATGCTGATGGGGAGCGAGAACGCCTTGGTAATAATTTTACATATTTGTATGCTCTTGAGGCTTGATCTGTAATTTGTGGGAATGTGTCAATAGAGTATCTTTGTGGTTACATGCACTATTCTCATTGAATTCTCAGTTTTAAGCATGTAATATCCATGGCACTCACTTCTACTTGCATGTGGTTTTTGAATTTAGGTGCTGCATGCCCTTGTTTAAGTAATCCGTTATTTACCCTGATTTTTTTCTAAAGCCTTTTAATTTCAGAATGTAGGGAGCGTCTATCCCTCTGTTCGTACTAGCATTTTCTCCAAAATCATGGGCACGTGTTTATGCAAATTGTCTAGTGTGCTACGCAATCCAAGCATATTTGTGTCTATAGTTGAATCCCTGTCTCATAGTTGAAACTTGAAAGTCCAAAAGGTTGAAGAAAATGAACTTTAAGTAGTAAATAATGCAAGTAGGTGCATGATTTATCAGATTGATTGGAAACATTATGGTTCCCTTTGTAAGCATTAGTGGGAGATAGATTTACATGCTTAGTTTAGGTTGGCTTTCCGTTGACATTTGACAGAAATCTCTAGTTTTATCTGTGCCTTCTACTTTTGAGTGTGTTGGTGGATTGGGATCTTTTTGTTTTATTTTGTTTTTTGGGGGAGGGGTTTGTGGAGATTTTGTTCATTATGCATGATGTTTCGTGCTTAAGTTTTTTTTTATCCTTATACTGTCTTATTTCTCCATAATAGATTTCCCCCCTTAAATGACAGGTGCAGTTGAGTACAGATTGTTTGTGGGATCGCTGAACAAACAAGCTACTGAAATGGATGTCCAGGAAGTAAGTCATACAAATATTTTATTTGTACAATTATGCTGTCTATTTCTGAGGCTTCTATTATTCTGGTGTGAAAGTAATTTTTGCTAATAACCTTTTGTAGGATCACCTCAATTGTTAAATGCCTTTTCCCCCTTTTTCTTATGCATAACTCATAAACATTGACATTATTTAACTAATTTTAGCTTTCTCTTTTTTCTTCTTTTTTATTCATTTTACCAAAATAGTAATTTCTGTTCCATTGGCAGGTTTTTTCTCAATTTGGTCGAGTTGAAGATGTTTACCTCATGCGTGATGAATTAAAGCAGAGTCGTGGTGTGTTCTTGAGTTCTATACTTAGTGACCTTGGATTTGATGAATGGTTTCCGTTCTTGTTTCTTTTGTTACAGTACCTTAGGTGTTGTCATCGTGGCCTCACCTGAGCTGGAAGAGCCCATCATCGTTGTAGTAGGCATTGATTCTCTCGAGTTGAAGATCTTGGTATCCTTGGTAACGACCGGTTGGATCTATACTGTGCTCGGCACAAACAACCTCTCAAAACCTGGCTCCGATTTGGTTGTCGCACTGGCCACCTTGAGTGTGAAGGATCTCACGCATCTTCGATTATGGAGAGAAGAAACCAGAAAGGATAAATGAAGGGATTTAGAGAAAGAGAGAGACGGCAAAATAAGAGATGCAAAATTGAAAATGGAAGTGGGAAGAGCCTCGTTTTTATATAAATATATTTCATTTAGTTTTGGTCTAATTTTGATTTTAGATCCTCTATTCTACTCAAATTTAGAGATTAATCCTTTTACTTTTCGAGATAAGAATGCTCAGTCCAGTTCCTAACTACAAACAAAATTGAGTAGTTCAGTTGATAAACCTCAAATCTAAATTAAATAAAATAAGGCAAATAAACATGCATTTCTAAATGTGTTATATAATTGATCTCTATCTAAGAAACTGGTACATCGTATTAGAGCGATCCGAAATACGTCTACACCCCTCATACCGAATTTTAGGGACCTAGCGAATTGCGATCCCGTTCCACGTTCCTATACCGGAGCGTACCGCGATACATGTGACTATAGTTCGAACATCTTGTCAAATCATTTTATAATAAATTGCTGTTTTATTTCTTTTCTTTTGGCAACCCCTTCTTTACAGTTACTATTGTTGTAAAGGCATTCTTGTTTTCACTCTTTAGGAATTCATTGTCCCATAAGATCTCATTATTGTTTTGGATCTTTCGATGCTACTAGGAACTTGGTTATGGACAATTACCGGTGGCGCCATCACCAAATGATCCATCACGCTTCCAACAGGTATCATGTGTCGTAATTTCCGTTATTCCGTCTCATTAGACAACACTATTCATTTCTTTGGTGTATTTGCTGCAGGGGCTTCAGATGGTGCAGGATTTAGCATGGAAGAATAAACCATAAGGTTTTAATTTTAATTGTTTTTTGGTTAACATTTTCCCTTTCTTCTGTCAGTTCATCTAGAATAGAGTAAAATTAGAGAAATGGAAATTTAAACTGTTAGACACTACACAAATATTTAGGCTGGGATGGAACTATGTACATTGTGGGAGGGTCCCCAAAATTTTCTGGTTCAGTTACAATTTAGGTCCGTACTAGTTTTAAAATTAGTCAAATTAAGCCCTAGCCTTTTTTTTTCTGTTTAATTACTACTTAGATCTCTGTCTGTCTCAAAGTTAAGCAATATGGGCCCCAATGTTTCATCCTTGTTCTGTCCATGTGTTTGGGCAATTGTCGATCACCAGTTCAAGCTATTTTATTGTATGCTTCATGCATCATTTATTTTATGAAGATGAAGGTTCTTATACCATGTATTTTTGGCGGATTCAGTCCTCCTACTTTATGAAGTGTTTTTTTTCCAATCCTGAGGTCAATCTTTCATTTGTTAATTCCATCATGCAATTAGATGTGGTTTATTTTAACCATATGGTGACAGACACACATCTCCAGTTTTTGGTACAATTTGACAAATGATATATTTTCGTCTTTTATTTGTAGTCGTTTTGTTAAATGGGTAAAAACTTGTGTTACTAAAAACACCACCAAGATGTATGTGCAAAATTGTTTAATGGAATTTGTAAGTTATGTGATAAGAGGGTAAGGGTTATTATGTACATATGTTAGTAGTTTAGTTCAAAACTAATACCTAACAGATTATGTAGATAGAGATAACAACAGGAAGTAGTTTAGTTTAGGTGAAACACTTATTCCTAATTACTGTATAGTGTATAAAGCTTTGTATCGTTACTTGTGTAAAGTAAGAAAATAGTTTTGTGAATAAAATCACTTTACCGGAAACCTACTTTCAGCAGAATTAATAGATCAAAAAAAGTTGATCATAGGATTGAAAATATACATTTTGAAATGTAGAGATAGATGATCAAATTATAACAGATGGACTAAATCTTCCAAAAACAAAACCTTATCAGAGTTTAGAGTGGTAGGCATTGCCTGCTTCCTGCTGTTACCGTCATTTTGAGCCTGTGCCCTTGAGAAGTTATTCAGGGCAATGGAAGCCATCTGTATGTCTGTAACATAGTGATGTTATTTGCAATAGTAACCAGGTACACACAAGGAGCTTTCGTTTATGCTCTGAAATGGTAACGATTGTGATGAATTGGATTGTCTATTCTGATCATAATCAAGCATCAAGCAAGGAAAGCACTTAAGACCTAAACAATCACAAGCTTGGCTTCTCTTTACAAGTGCAGTGTGTTTTATCATTCAAAATGTGATGTCTGGGAACCCTTGCTCAAAGCATAGGTCACCGATGAACAGGTCTTATCGCTGCAGCATTGGTCGTCTCTCTAGGGAGAGACGATGGTCTTCATATACCAAAAAAAGGCTTCGGGCCCCGTCTTGTGGGCTTTGAAACCGTTAACTGAAAAGCTAAAAGGAATTTATTGTTATTTCTTCCTAAATCAGCACTGACGTGGGTCGCAAGTAGTACACAACCAAAACAGCCCATGGCCACCTTTTCTTATACAGAACTCTCCTAGTGCTCAAAGCTCAAAGGACATTTTTAACCTCATCCCTATAATACATATTATCATTCTACAGCCGCCTTAGATGCCTTTGCTATGTATTTATATATCTCCAAGTTGTCTCTCGGAAGGAAAAAAGTATGGTGCATGGCATTGATAGAAAATAGTGGTCGGAAACCACGAGGCAAATTATCATTAAAATCATGATTGCTCAAATACACTTCTTTTATTGAGAATAACATTCTCTTGCTGCCAAGACCACTTAATAAGTTTTTGATGTTATTTTTAAACTATGCATATAAATATATATACGGATCAATGCTAAAATTATCTTTTTGGTCTTTATTCTTTGTGACATTAAGTAAACCAATGACTAACCTATGTTCATAATGTATCTAATTGTAATTATGAAACAAGATTAGTTTCCATATCGTATGATGCTTTGGAGGGCCAACTTCTGCTGTCATCGGCATATATCCATTCTTTTCATGCACGTGGTTCAGAATTCTAACCCTAAAAGAGCTGTCCTTTGTGGATCAGTGCTGTGTGTATATATGTATGCATTCACACACTAGAATTACCATTAAGAAGAAGATAAAAGAGATACCTGTAAGACAATCTTAGGATTTTATTTATTTATTTATTTGTTAACTACCAATATCTAGTCTATTGATCGTCTATTCCAGATTGGATATTGTATAGTTCCTTTTATTAAGGAGACCATCTCAATTCATTGTTTTGAACACCTAATATTATTTAAGGATCTAATGCTTCATCGCTGGTTATTTTTATTTTTACATCTTCACATGAACAAGAGATAGTGCATGTACGAAGATCCTAACAATATTGTTCTGATTTTTTTTCGTTTTATATGAAATTACAAATAATAAAAAGATAGGTTATGAATTATGATAATTAATAGAATAATTTACTGTGCTATATATTTAGTGAACTCAAAAAAATTCCCTTTTGTTATATTTCCATTTATGAAATTCTAGTGTGCAACTGTGTATACATTACGACTTTGAATGAGAAGAATATATACATACGCCGGTCAATACATCATAAGAAATATTCTTTCTTAGGGAGATAAAATACAAATACAATTCTAAAGTATAATTAGTACATTCAAGAACTATTATTAGATGTACTTAAATTTACACATAACAAGGCATAGTCGGATGGAAATCCGACTTTATAGATAATCAGGAGTAAACATTGTAGTATAGATCTTTAACCTAAATCACTCCGTGATCTAAACAATAATCATCCAGAAAGAAATTCACACCAGATGAGACAAGAACTCAAGGCCTCGTTGCCAATATGAAATATTATTTTTAAGTGATTGCCAACGGATAGGATATATGTTATTATGATCCATTGCCATCTCTCCTTGGAGTTAATCTTCTTGATAACACAAATATCCAACACAAATTTCGTATCTCAGTCAACAAGTTAACGTTCATTTCAATAGTCATTAATCTTTTTACGAAAAATGACGAGTTTACAACATATGAATAGTCAGACGATCATTTTGTAACTTTTAATAGTCGGATGAATCAACAAAACAATATCCTATAATTGAAAATCATTTTATAACTTTTAATAGTCAATTAATTCAACAAAATAACGCCCTATAGTCGAAGAATTATTTGTATACTTTACCTTTATATTATTTACCGATATTATTGATTACAAACGAATAATTCTATTTATTTATCAATGATCCATCTCCAATCTCCATAGCTTAAAAGGGAAGGAAAAAGGCTAATGGGAACACGTTTAGAGGTTAATATTCTTTTTCTTAGCACCTCCCAGCAATGTACTTCAAGATATCGCATGCAAACAGTGATTTAACTTTTAACACATTGTTTTCACTGCCTACCCTCTCCCCCCTTTGTAGGGTACATTTTCCAGAAGTTCAAGTATTTTGACCCATACAAATAGCCACTATTGTTAATAATAAATGGTCTTCATGCGACTTTTCCTCGTGAAGAAAACCCTAACCCTAAACACTCCTTCTCGGCTACGTTATCTCTCTTGAAAATATGCAAACAAATGAAAAGGAAAGAAAGGAAGAAGATGACTGAGATGTGTAGTAAAATGGAAGAATTAGCAAAAAATAAATAAAACCCAATATTTCCATTACTGAATTCTCTCTAAATACAAAGAATAACCACAAGAAACAACCTGCAAAAGACTAGTGATTTTACACACATATATATATATGGTGAAACGGGCTCTTCATCTAATGATAAAATCCCACATGGATCAGTTAGTGAAGGATTAAGAAACTACATACCATTAAAATTATAATTAAAAACAATATCGTACTGTTCTTCCTTTGACTCTTTCATCATTTGTGTTGGAACAATATCTTGAAGAAGCCCACGATCACTAAGCAATGAAGCTGAAGAACTAGGAGTATTAAAACGTCTCTCTTGAAGGAAATTAGGGAACGAGGTATTAAAGCTAGTAGTAGTAGTAGCAGTGGTAGTACTAATGTTCAAAGAAGGTGATGAGTTATATATATCGGGTTGTAATTGTTGCTGCTGTTGTAAATACTGAGGTTGAGGCACATTGAAACCAGAGGGATCCAGGCCGATTCCGATCGTTCTTCGGGGTGTTACCGGATACTTATGCGTATGCTGCCCTTCGTAAGTCGTGACAACGATCGTCGGATCATCGGATGATCTCTCTACTCTCTTCTTCACCCCACACCCTGCACTGGTGCAACGATAATAGCTCCTGTTTTGGGGGGGCGGGGGTGAGAAATTGAAAGAAAGTTACAAAGAGAATGCCTTGCCTACTAGTATGAACATGAAAGTTCAATTCTTGGGAAGCAAGGAAGCATTAGTGGACTATATCAAAAAAGGGAGTTTACATTAGATTTGAATATATATATATATATATATATATATATATATATATATACATACCTGGGAAAAGGGCTATTTTTCACAGCTTTTTGTCCATACTTTCTCCAACGGTAGCCATCATCTAAGTGATCAACTTCACTCTTTGTCATGAAAGCAAATCTCGGCTCCCTTTGCCTTTTTTGGTTCTTTTTGGGTTTCAACCTAAAACCCCATAAAAGTAAAACTCAAAAGCTTTTTACTTAAAGAATCAGCAAACACAAGCAAAATATACACACACATGGCTTTGGAAACATAAATGAGAATCAAAGAAAGCTTACTGTTTCTTGGTCTCGTCTTGATCCTCCTCTTTTCCTTCGTTATCTTCAACTTTGGTTGGCTCATGAATATTATTTGCAGCTTCATTAGATGAAGAAGAGGAGGAAGAGTTTGGGGTTGTCGGGTTGGTTAAAACCTCTGAAGATTCCGGCACGGTGGAAGCCGGTGATGGAAGACCTTGTAGTTGTTGTCGGTGAAGTTCAGATGATGTTGTCGGCGGCGGTTGTGGTGGAAGAATCGGTGGTGGAGGATGAAAGGAATCGAATAAAGAAGGAGCAATGAAATCTTGACTGATGCCGAGCAAGTCCATGAAACCTAAAGACCCCCACTTGTTATCTCCGCCACTAATACCTTCACATGCCGCCATGTCAAATATGCCTCCACCGAAACTAGTTGCTGTCACCGCCGGATTCTCATCGGAAAAGCACAAATTCGCCATGGGATTCTCTCTCTTCTTCTCCATATACTTCACATATTCTCCATTTTCTTAAAAAAAACAAAAGAAACCCATAGTTTTTTATCTTTGCATTACCAAGACGCGGGGTTGGGAATTTGGAGAACAGCTGAGCTTGGATTTTAGGAGAGGTCAGGTGACCGGCTATTACAGGTTAATTGAGAGTACAGTACGTGGCGTTTAAGGGGGAGGACGGTGATGGACGCATTTATTGCTTATAGACCGCCCCCTCATGAAATGGCTTTTATGCCCTTTGAATTGAATTATTTGGGGGTAAAATAAAATACATATTTCACATGAGAGTTTGAGAAATTATAAATTTCGTGTACATAATATTCTATTTAAATGAATATAGTTTTGGAGTGATAACAAAGGATTTGTATATGAATTTTGAGTACAAATTCTTAGATAATGCTTTAGAAAAAATACTGATTTTTTTAAAACGTTAAAAAATACGTATTGAGATTATGTCATTGTCATAGTGTTGGTAAAATTAATTTGTGATTATTATTAGCTTAAGAATGAGGTTTTATTTTTTAAAAGTGTTTCTAAAGATGTTAGTAATTTAACGTTTTTTTACTGACGCAATAACAAACATTTTATATTAACAAATAATTTTACTAACCCTCTAAGTAAATTAATATTTTTTTCTTATTACATTATCTAAAAAACTCTGTCATGAATATATATTTATTATAAATAATGATTTTCTATTTCAAATATGTCTATAAATATTAGAAAACATGTCAATCACTTTTAACTAATACTATGTATTATTTTAGTTTTTTATTTTAATCATCTATATTTGATTTATTGATTAACTAAATATAATAAAAATTATTTGTAGAAATGGCCCTATAATTTACTTCAGTTTTAATTGATAATATACATTATTTTAATTTTAATGAACATAAGATTAGACAAATTTTCCTTCTTTTTCTTATAAAAATAATAGATTTTATATAGTTAATGACTGTAAGAATATAATGAGAAAATTACAAAGGGAAGGCTGCCACGTCAACGTATCCAACTTTTATCGTACGAGTCAAGTTGGAAAAGGAAATAACCGCGTTACGAAATGCGGACATAATGTATGCGTCAGTAGAGTCCTCTTCATCTTTCCCGTCAAGCCAACATCATCGCAACTTTATTATTATTATTTTCTCATTCATATTTATTTTGCAATTTATATTTAAAGTTAGTCAATTTTCTTTTTAATATCGCGATCTTTATGTTTCGGAACAAATATTTTTATTTAAAAATATAATATATTTTAATATTACATCTAACATATAATAATAGAAATTATTATTTTTATTTATATATATTTTTAAAATACTGATATCTCAGACTTTTTTACTGAAATATCATCATGACAAACACCATTTCTCTAAATTTTACCGATCCAACACTATTTCTGACAAGGTGATGATCGTCATTTGCACCTTTGTTGGGTTTCTCCAAATTTAGTGTTTTTTTTTGTTTTTTTTGTTGTATCGTTTTCTTGTTTAATTAATCGGTGATGCTCAAATTACATTAACCGAAAGTAAATGAAAATTAAATTACAGAAACTTAGATTTCATAAACAATAACTACATCAAGCACAACATCAACGATTACTTGACGACAAAAGATATGGACATTTTTTCCTAGTGTGTCCTAGGTTTCTACAATGCCCACATCTTTTGTTTTCTCAGGACGTTTCCCGAATATTCATATCACAATGAATTCGAGAGGATTTTGGATGACCGGGCTCCCATAGTAAGGACATATCTGGTACAATCGGAAGCCAATTCTGAACCTCATTAGGGTTTTTCTCATTACCTATGGGGAACTCAAATTCATATACCTTACACACTTCTGAAAGTCAGTATACGGGATCCACAAAACGGTTATAATCTTGACAGGTATGCGAGCAAGCTGCTATGACAAGAGAACATGGATGCTTCAAAGCTTGAAAAACCCACAATCGCATCATCTGTCTCGTAGATTAACTCTGAACGAGTTAGCTTGAATCCCTTGAAAAGATCGCGAGATCTATTTCACACGAAATAATTAATGGGTTCTAGATAAGCTTGTTACAAACATTTCATTTGATGCATCAATTCTTTTTTGTAGATCTGTAACTAATATAGGATGATAGACATGATTGTTTTGCATCTATATTTGAGCTTATCCCCCGAGCATGGCAAAAAACACTCACAAACAAAAATATGTCATTTTTACCAAAGTCGTTACTGGTAAATGACGTGCCCCTTTAAGGTCGAATTGATAGCCTCAGTCAAGTTGGTCATCATGTGTCCATATCGATATCCCCCATCATATGTATTTGCCCCATTTCTTTATTGATGAGGTTAATGTAATCCTATCCTTCATCGTTCTTTCCTCGCACTCTTGAAGCATTGACTCAAATGTTTCAGGTAATAGTTTGTAACATGAGCATCAAATGTATAACTTACTAACTTTGTTTCCATAAAAACTGAAAATGATTGAGAAATAAAAAATATCATTTTAACATACTCATGCGCACAAGTACTTGGCACTCATCGTTTTTCTTGAACATTCCATGATAGTTAGCAGCAATGTATCGGATAATATATTGATGTTGGACATAGGGTGGTTTCCACAATGGACCCAAAGAATACATTGATGCTTTGATCTCAGCTCCGCGATATGAAATGACAGATATTTTTCCCTCGTGATAACATGTAAGCGTAAGTTTTTAAGGAAAAAAGCCCACGAATCTGTATCTTCTCCTTCAACAAGGGCAAAAGCAATAGGAAGTATATTGTGATTACCATCTTAGACAACTCTCAATAGTAAAATTTGCTTGTATTTTCCATACAAGAATGTTTTGTCGATTTGGACCATGGGCTTGTACTATTTCACATCATTAATGCACTGTGGGTAAGTCCAAAAAAGTCGGTATAATTGGCACCGATCGCGTAACACTTGATCATTGTGGTATGCGTGGCAAATTTCAAAGTCGATAATTGTCCCATGATTCAATCTGCGCACTACCCTAAACTAACTTGATAGTTCGTATTAAAATGCATCCCATTCGCCGTGAAGTTTTTTAATGGCATTCTATTTTGCCTTCCATGTTTTCCTGTATGAGACGGTATATCCACACTGCGATTGTATAGCTGAAATCAGCACAACAATGGCTATATAGGAGATTTCTTTTACTATGGGCATGATGGCTTGACAGATAATGTCGAAGTCCAAGTTGGGATGATCCTGGTTGATATTTCCAGCACAACATGTGTGAGGACTGTTGTATATCGTTAGTTCTCATATATAGTTTTTCCTCTTCCTCTTCGATACACGAACCATCCAATTACATACATTATTACGTTGGACACAGTAGCATACATACTTTTCGGTGGTAGAGTGACTCTGGACTGAACAGAATTATGAATGTTGTAATTCTTAATTGCCATCATCGTTTCTTTTTTGCATGAAAACTCAATTCCTTTATATAACTCACCGTCATTTACTGATGAGTTAAATTCGTAGTCATCGAAATTAGGCATATCCGTAAATTCTTGCTCATACATTGCATCATAGTCAGCTTCATACATGTGTGTTGTAGGTTCAGTGTGTACCGTATTTGTGGGAACTTCATCTACATCATCATCATCGGAGTCTATGTTGAACTGCGGTGGTTCTAGCTGAACGAATAGTCCAGTCTCAGCACCATATGAACCTAGCTCACGAAGAGGTTCTTCTGGTGGAGATTAGTGTTCCTCCACGATGTCGACATTTAGGTCGAACAAATTGGTAGTTGCATGTCTTCCCCTTGAACTTGAAGGTATCTCGACATTGAGGTCGAAGAAGCTCGCAGTTGAATGCCTCCCCCTGTAGCTTGAAGGCATCGTGTCAAATGGGTATTGCACAGATTGCTACATCGAGGGCATCTCCATATTCAGGTCAAATAAATTGGCAGATGAATGTCTTCCCCTTAACCTATACACGATGTTTCCATACTAATTGTTTGTGGAGCCACCTCGATACAGATCGTAAGATGTTGCTGATGAATGTCTCCTCATTGAACTTGATGGGATGACACCATGATGTGAATTTCCCATTAACAAGTTAAAATCATTACATATTACTTGAGTTGGGCTGTCAACTTGATCAACTTGTCCAGCCAGCCCATAGTGAGAGCATAATGACATACCACGAACAACACACACTTCAACAAAATTCGCATACATCTCTATATCGGCGTTTGAATAATGATTTTGAGAATCAACCATCATAGCAACATTGTCATCGTTGGATAGTTTGAACGCTATATAAGTTAACAGAAATACTGTGATTGGAAATTTGTATTGAAGTGAGGACAATCTTCTAGTACTTCCAACATGATTCTTCCTTGAAATTTTCGTTATCAACTTCTCAAGAGTTATTTCTCTTAAAGGATATTTTGATAGAATGATTTGATGCGAAGAAGATGTCAATTTCATTTTCCCTAATTTTTCCATCGTAGTAAACAATAGTTGAAATATGTGTCATTCTGAGAGTTTGAAAGATTGAGATTCTTATATTTGAAAAAATAATAGTTGGAATATGTCTAATTAAATAAATAGTATATGAATTAAAATGTAAACTAATAAAAAAATAAAAATTTTACAGTAATTTAAATAATATAATTTTATATTGTTACAGTATTGACAAAAATGTCTCGAGGTATGATCCCACTTTCCAAATGCAAAAAAAATACAAAATAATTAGTACAATAATTTTTTTTTCAAATAATCATATATAAAATAAAAAATAATTTTACCTTACAACAAAAATCAAGGGAATTGGTGAAGCAAAAATAGAAGGAATTAATAAGTTGATGTTTGCATAGAATGAGTGTTATTTAAGGGGATGGGAGAGTTTAAAGGATGAGTTGTTCGGGTGGAAGTAATAATGGAAGGCCCGGATGGTAATCCGTGCCTGACTGACACGTGTTAGAAACTCCAGAAAGGCACGGATGGCGATCTACGCCTGTTATTACGTGGCGTCAGCTCAAATAATGCAAGGATGGTCATTACGTGACGCCAGCTCGGACGAAACCCGCAAAGTAAATATCTCATTATCCTAAT